GCCATTAGGTTCGAGGTTGAAGGCCATCGCTATTAGGTTGGAGGCCATCGCTATTAGGTTCGAGGTTGGAGGCCATCGCCATTAGGTTCGAAGTTGGAGGTCATCGCCATTAGGTTCGAGGTTGAAGGCCATCGCTATTAGGTTGGAGGCCATCGCCATTAGGTTCGAGGTTGGAGGCCATCGCTATTAGGTTGGAGGTCATCACCATTAGGTTCGAGGTTGGAGGCCGCCGCTAGTAGGTTGGAGGCCGATCACTAGTAATTAGGTTGGAGGTCATCGCTAGTAGGTGGAGGCCGATCGCTAGTGACTAGGTTGGAGGCCATCACTATTTGATTGGAGACCATCGCAATTAGGGTGGAGGCCATGGCTGGTAGGTTGGAGAATGTACATACACGATCAGACACGCATCCGTACATACATCCACGCACGCAGACTCTTCATGAACGTTTGCGCAATATTCATCCCTCTATCCACACGCGTGCTGTTTGAGTTTCTCTCCCAGTCATCGTTCAATTCTATTATACATTATCAAGAAAGCTACTAGAAACAAGTGCCACGCTACCAGTAACAGGTGCCTGACTAGTAGTAACAAGAAGCTACTAGTATTAACATGTCAATGTGGGAATGCTGCGTGTGCTGCAGGTGTTCGGCACTGCGTGGGTGAAGTTTATCAACGACTGTCTGCACTTTGTTGGGCCGTTTCTATTGAACAGGACGTGCCCGCTGTGCGGCGCGCTGTGCGGCGTGCGTCCAAAGCAACCTGGGTTCCTAATAGCGATGGTCTTCATTCTACTAGCGATGGCCTGCAACCTACTGGCGTCCTTGCTCCTAGTAGTACGGCCAGGAGCCCCTAGTAGCGTCCTTCCTCCTACTAGCGGTTCCATGGAGTTCTTTTTTGCGAAACTCCAGGATTGTCAACTTTGTGAATGGCGTGGGCTTCGAAGGAGAAGAGGCAAAGCCTGCGCACCTAAAGGGCTGATGCAGCAGTGGGAAAGTTGCGTTTTGTGGGGTGCAGATACATTCAGGAGAGCAACTGGAACCGTTTCTAAGCGAAGTGATGACAACATCATTATGTTTTGATGCGGAAAAACATTTGTTTTTTTGACCGGCGTGCACCAATCAAAAAAGCACTACATCAGACATCATAATGTTGCCTTAGTGGGAAAAAAACAGCCCTAGTCCAGCTTGTGTTGCCAGCCTTTGTGGATGGGCTACATGTATGCTATTGGAATGGTGCTGTCGTCAGGATGTCAGGCTGGGGCATTTTCACCTTTTAACCGCACTGTGTCGTGACGCTACTAGGAACAAAGGGCATCGCTTCTACTAGCAAGGACGCTACTAGGGGCTCCTGGCCTTACTATTAGGAGCAAGAAGCTGATAGAAACAAGAAATAAATAGAATTGCGTTGAATTTCTAATTAGAATTGAAACAAGTAAATACAGATGCCGCAAAAGCCTTTGAGGCATTCCTGATGGCGCATTATTTCCAAGGAGGTTACCAGTGTGTGGCTTAGGGATTGGAGCCGTGGGATTGTTGAGCCGGTGTCATGTGCTGTACCAAGGACCGGCATGCGATTGAGAACTGGCCTGATTCTGATGTCTTACAGCAAGGCGAATCATTGCTAGGAACAAGAAGCTACGTTCGGGGCTCCTGGCCGTACTACTAGTAACAAGGGCATCGCTACTAGGGGCTCCTGGCATCGCTACGAACGGAGCAATGTTTGCTATTAGTAGCTTCTTGTTACTAGTAGCGAGGCACTTGTTACTACTAGCAATGCACTTGTTACTACTAGCGAGGCACTTGTTACTACTAGTAACAATTCAACAGTTTGAGCGGGCACATCGGATTGTCCGAGAGGCGTTGCGTGTATTGCCATGGGCAACGCCACCTCCGAAAGAGGAACCTCAAGAGCAGCAACCAAGGCGGTGTTGCAAAAAAACGCACGGATCTGAGGAAGTATATAAAACAGCAAAAAAGACAACCAACTTGCGTGGAAAGTGTTTGCGCATTTCATTGTCAAACAACATGACTTCAACCGACAGTTCTCTAATCCACTATTAAGGCCTAAGAAGAAGCCACAACTTCCAACAGGTGGCATGGGGTGCTAAACTCGGAACAGTTTCGTGTTTCAGCCAATAGTTTGCGCATGTAGGTTGGAGGCCCATCGCTAGTAGGTTGGATGCTTTTACTGTTGGTTTGAAAGTGCTTTTTTTAGTGTACCGAACAAGCCTTGAGGCAAATGACAAATATCATTTCGGCCGACACGGTGCCAAACTTGGAATGATTGAACAAGACACATACAGTTTAAACATCGAATATCACACTGCGCGAATATCAGTGGGTTTGATTTGGTGTTTGCTACTTCGCTCTAGTCTGTACAGTGTACAGAAAGAGATGAAGAAAAAGAAGGTCAGGGCTCCTTTAATGGGGCTCTTACCTTCTTCTTATCATTCTTTAACTCTTCTCATTGTGTTTGTCAGGACAAATTCACCTTCTTGATGCCCTACTTCAACCTGATTTGGTCATGCCCCTTGCAGGTCTCACGGAACAAAGAAGGGAATTGCATTTTGAGTTGTTGTTGTTGTTGTCGTCGTTCTTCTTCTTCTTCACCAAAAGCCATGTTGGGTTTTTTTGGAGAACCAAAGTGTCCCGTCATGAGGTGGGTGTCCCAGTCATGGTTTGGATGGTGTCCCAGTATTGGTTTGGATTGTGTTTTGGTTGTGGTGTGGATGGTGCTTGGCTTATGGCTTGGATGATGTTTCGACCATGTTCTTGATGTTTTTGTTATGTTGAAGCCCTGCCATGGTGAACAGCGAATAGTGACTGTTGATTTTAAGCATGTTTTCTTCCTTCTTAATGGCTCAGTTTGATGGTGTTTTGGTTATGGTTCCCAACAGTGAAGCTTTAGGGGTCTTCAGCCATAGTATGCCATAGTATAGACTTCCGAGCCGCTCCGAGCAGGTTCCGGAGCAGGTTCCCGAGCAGGTTCCGGAGGAGGTTCTGGAGCCGGTTCCGTGAAAAGGCAGGCTATCCATCAGCATGTAGCTTAGGATTTGCTTGCGCGGCCTAACGACAGCCGGACTACAACAGAAGGGTTCGCAAGCGTGGCAAGAAGACCGCATGACGACAGTAGGAAGACAGCAGGAGGGCACTAGCAGGAGAAGAGGGGAGCCAAAGGACAGCGACAGATGACAGAGCGCGAAAGAATTACACAAGCAAGCGCGGCGCTCAACCTGGTGATGCTGAAAAAATCGCGCGGCACTTCCTTTAATGGATTCGTTTTGTTTCCCCTTTTTGTTGGTTGTGGCGTTGTGGCGGTTAGGAGCTTTGCTACTGGGGTCTCCAGCCGATCTATTTGTTGTTGTTGTTGCTGTTGTGGTGGTGTCAATAAATTGTAGGGCCATATTGAGCTTTCATCCATGCGCAGATTGTGATTTGCTTCGTGATGCTCGCCCACTATGTGCAGTGGGCCTTGTTTGCTGGAGTTGGCGCAACTCGGCCAACAAATTTGGCACTCACATGAGTCATGCAACAGAAGAGAACCAATCATTGAGTCAACACAGTTACGGTTTTCCTACGCTTTGTTCAGTTCAGCTTGGCGTCATTCATTAATGCTTGTCAAAGAACACTTATGTAAACGATCCATTTACAACCCATTGATTGTTGCACATGTTTGAGGTCATGATCCTTTTCACGATCCTGTCCAGCACCGTTGCAAACAAAGCCACTTGGCCCCTGTTGCAATGGGACGGAATTTGAAGATGAACTGTTAAGTCAAATTTCCTAAGCAGTCTAGGAACCAATTCATTTGTTAAACTTGAACCCTTCCACATCTTAGCCTAGGAAACTAGGTGCACGGTGCGTAGACGGCTGTGGGGTTTTGTCATGATTTTTAGACTTTAGAGACGTTGTAAACATTTATTTAGCCTGATGTTTTCCGGAATTTGTGCCATTGAGGCCTCAACCGGGCGGGGGAGAGTGTAAGATGAGAGTTTTGCTACAATGAGAAACATTGTTTCTTTTTAGTCTCCCAAAACTCATTCTATTTGAAGAACTACACGGATAGGGATATTATGGACCCCCACAAAACAAGACGAAGGACAAGGAAGTGAACAAGAACGGAAACACAAAAGGAAGAAACTCCTAGTAGCAAGAATGCCCTTTGTTACTAGTAGCGATACCCTTGTTCCTAGTAGCTTCTTGATCTTTCAACAAGAAAACTGCGCAGACACATGCAGACACTGTGTTTCGCTGAAGTGTCCCGTTAAACAGTTTACACGAAAATCGTCGTTTCCGACGTCGCTTTCGCTTTTCCGGAATCAAGTTTTCACGAAGTGTCCTTTCATCCACAAGGCAGTGTTCCCCTCCCCAATAGCGATGGCCTCCAACCTAAAAACAGTCTTCAAGAGAGGTCTGAGAAAATGCAATGCTCAAGCAGAGGCTCGCAAAATCCAAGCAGAAGCCATGAAGGCAAAGGATGAGCGGTTGAAGATGGAAGTGGAGCTCTTGAAGCAACTTGGCAGAATGAGAAGACAGAATACAAATACAAAGGCGACAAAGGTGTTTGGAGATGAGACAACATGTGAAACCGCTGAGGATCGTCAAGATCATCAAATTCTATGCTTGGGAGCTTGCAATTGAAAACCGAGTGAAGGAGCTCAGGAACAAGGAGTCGGGCAAAGTTGGGAGGTACTTGCTACTTATTCACTGGCTAACCCCAGAAAGAAAGGAGAGAAAGAACGAGAAACATTAGAATCACTCAGACTGAAGTAGGGCACTCCAAGAAAAGAATTGCGACACACTCGGGTGGCAAGTACCAGAGTAGATGATATGCTCTGTTTGCTTTGCAATGCTTCCTTGTATGTTGCCCTGTTCATTTGTCCTTTCCTGTGGTGCCTTTCCTCTTCTTTCAACCTCCCTTAATCTCCAGAATGTCTCCTTTCGCCCGCTTCTTTTTCCACCGAGTCAAAGACAGGCAGCGAAAAAGCCGATCCACAAGCACAAAGGGTCAATATACTAGTAACAAGTGCATCGCTTCTAGTAACAAGTGCCTTACTAGTAGTAACAAGAAGCTAGTAGAAACAATAAGAAGCTATAGTTTGCTATTAAGTTGGAGGCCATTGCCATTGGGGTGGGCTCCTTGACGACGAAGCATGGCTACGCCTATCATGCTTGCATTTCTTCACGCGGTACACACCCTTACTAGTCACTAGTCCGTTCGACGAAAGAAGTAATACGTTTAGATCTGAGCGCAGCTGATTCTTTTTGCTTGGGTGACACAGGTTTTCATACGGCTTCTACATGTTAAAGAAATGTAATTATTTGCTGCGCTAGCCGCGGCGGCTGCATTGCGGCCTTGCTTACAAGTGAGAGAGAGGGATATTGCACTAAGTTATGAAATATATTTCCGAGCCCGCAGGAGCTGAACTTGCATATGGATTTTGTTTTGTCCAGGTATGGACTTGAGAGCATTCTTGTTACTAGTAGTTTCTTGTTCCTAGTAGTAAGACCAGGAGCGCCCCTAGTAGCGATGCCCTTTGCTAGTCGCATTCTGTTTCCAAGCCCGTAGGAGCTGAAATTGCAACTTCGGTACAAGCTTTGGAATGTGGCAGTGGTCCAAGTTTGATGTTGTTCCGATCGGTCATAAACCAATGAGCCTGGCCAATTGACGTGCCAAGTTGCTTTTCCTTTCCTTCTCCTTGTCGCCTGTCTTGGTGGCACTGGGCACGTTCGCATGCTACACGTGGGATGCTGAGCCTTTGGTCGCTGTTCCGTAGGCTTCCAACTCTTGGATGAACGACCATAACAAATTGAAAGAAGGCTTTGTGAGATTCTTTGGATATCCTTGCCGCAAGGGGTTCCGAATCAATGCAAAAACCATTCAAGCAGGTGCATATTTCTTCTCTAGGCTCAAAGAGGGCATGACTTTTATGGTTTACGTGCGTGCTCAGGATTTTGCAAAAGAAGAACTTGGACGCCGTCCGACCGCCCAGCTAAAACCGCTCAAAGAGTTCAGGAGAAAGATGCGGCCAAAGCCCGGGAACCAACTTCTCCAGAGAAGACCAGTGGAAGGGTGGTTCCGTTTTCGTTCCACAACCAGTTGGCTTAGTTGCTTTTTGCAAGAGATGTAGTTGGCAAACACGGTTGGTGTTTTCTGATGTCCTTAGTCTAGTGCTCTTTTTCTCAGCCTTGAGGCCACTGCCTTCACTGCGTTGAGCCTCTTCAACATCCTCTCCTTCCCACTAGGCTGGATACGAAGGAGAATTTGACATTTTTAGGTTGTTAGGCCATCGCTCGTGGGTTGGAGGCCATCGCTCGTAGGATGGAGGCCATCGCTAGTGCCGCTAGTGTATTTTGTTACATGTAAAAAGTGCAATTGAAATTCCGTTGAGCACAGAAGCTGGAACACCAATTGCACCGCGCAGGTGCCATGCCCATGCGAGGCCCTCAGGAAGGTAAGTTAAGGCACCTTTGAAGAAACCTCTTCCCTACTTTTTTTCATCTCCTGTTCCTTTTGTTGCGGAAACATCTTAGCTTCAAAGTGCGAACTTGGAGTTCATCCGAGGATGGCCCGTTTTTTCATGGAGGCTTTTGCTGTTCTTGTTGAGCCAGCCACATTGTGTGTTTGAGTTGTATTGCACTTTGCTTGTTACATGTCTCTCCGATTGTTTGTCAGGCGGCAGTCGCTAAAGACCGCATTGAAGCCTTCCTCCTTTCGCCTGAGGCGCTGAGCGCCGCAAGCGTTTGTGCGTCGCCGCTAGTGTCCCCTGCGTCGGCATCAATAAATGCAATTGTGCGCTCTGAGCGCTGTTTTAAGGTAACATTAGAGGCGATCCAGGTGCCGGCTTGTGTGAGGTTCTGATTTTCATACTGTGCATCCCGTCCAAGTCTCACACCAAATCATCTCACGCCAACTCAGCTCACTTGAACTCACCCACTTCCACTGCCAACGCACGTCTGCCCTTGCGTTTCCCTTGCATTTTGCTCGCTCTTAACGCTGGGAGGTTCTGCTGACGCCCGTTGGGTCTGGGGTTATCTGGTCCTTTAATGGCGGTTTTTCACTCGTGTTTATTCAGAACCCAAGCAAAGGACCAGCTTTTGGAATTCATAAACACACCTAGTTGATTTCACATTCTCAGAATGTTGGTGAGGGTACCGAGAGCCACAGTTAAGCTCAGACTGCTAACGCGGTGAACGGGGGCACGTGTTGAAGAAGCGGCCCTGTTCTACAGACCTGGTTTCTATCCTGAAACACGGTGGTTGTAAGATCATCAGGCTTAGGTTGGAGGCCATCGATCGCTATTAGGTTGGATGGCTTTGAAATGTTCCGGTCCAACTGGCTGACCAGGGGCAGTGTACCTTCATGAACTAGAGTGGGAAGACGCAATTGCGTCCGAGTACAGAAAACTTGATTGGATTGAGGGGGAGCAGGAATGCTGTCTGAGAGTGTTCAGAGTGCGAATCGCCACAGACGCCCACCACGAGGGCCCAGCAAAACAACGTTATTTCCAACAACTTTTTGGTTTTGTTGCTTTGGTGTGATCATGTATGCCATGTATGCATCTAGCCAGACGAGAACATGAATGCCAACCTTGTGGAAACTCTAGATCAATTAGATCAAACAAAGGGCACTCTCAACGCTCTTTGTGCAAGAGCTCTACAAGCCGCCACCACTTCACTGGCGAATGAACCACTTCACCTCCTTTGAAGCACAAGTGCTTCAGTCATGCCAGTATGCCAGTATGCCACAACTAGAATGGTGAAGGGAGCAGTCGCAGGCACCAGTTCCCCAACGGCCAGACCGGACAATGGTTCACTGGTATTTCTATAGTTTCGCCGGCCCCGTCTCCTGATCTCACTCAAAAGTATGCTTCCTGAGGGCGTTTTCACTCTTTTGCTTGATCACGTTCCAGTGACTGCGTCGTACTGCGTGTCAGTCAAAACGAAAACCCATGCAAAAAAATGCAAGCAAAGCAAATCTGGTCGGCCAGCATCACCAACATCAGAAGGACACATTTCTCAAATGCCACCCGCACTGGCCATCACAAATGGACACGTTTATCATGGAGCATTCAAGAATCAAGATGTGGGATTCAGGAGTCCAGAGCAAATGAAGGAACACTAGTTTGAGATAACAAGTTGGAATTCCTGATGGTTTCCAATCCCTACCGGGTCTATTTTAGTGGCATGTTTTGTGGTGTTGTTTCAGCAACATGTGGTGGTTTGCCTTTCCAAAACTAATCATTTTGTTGCCATGCATTAGTAGACAGCATGTTTTCTTTCTTTCTCTGTTCGTAGCGATGCCCTTTGCTCCGTTCGTAGCCTCCTTGCTCCTAGTAGTAAGGCCAGGAGCCCCTTAATTTACTTGTATACCAGATTGAGGTGAGTCTGGATTGAGCGCAGGTCTCCAGACGGCCTTCTCCATCAACTGACCCAAAAACGGCCGTGGAGTTGAAATCCACGCAGTTGCAATGGTAGGAACCTCAGGTTTCTGAGCTCCCAAGATATGCTGAATGTGCTGGACTGGCAATGTGAAGCGGTGCGTAGTTCCGTGAGTGCTGAGGCCAGACAAGACGGTATTGCTACAAGAGGCGGGACACTCTTTCGCAATCTCTTCTCACAAATCTTGACATCTTTTTTTTTGGGCGAGTTGTTCATTCGCAATGGAAGAGACGGAACCAATAGTTCTTTCACAGATGCCTTGTCGTTGGAAGTGTCTTCAGGTAGATGTTTCTCTGAAGAAGGGCGAGATGCTAGTAATTGTGGGCAAGACAGGCGGGAATGGGAGAGTACATGGTTCTTGAAAACGGCTCTTATGCGGGTGCTGAGCCAGTGCGCAGGTGTTGGCAAATCAGGGTCTGTGTCTCAACCTCCGAAGCATGTCTTGAACAAAATGCATAGTTGGAATCATTCCATGTCAAAAGTGCAAGATTTAGGCTTCTGTACGCTATTCTGGGCGAGCTTCCGATTGCACCAGCAGATGGGAAGCCCGCCCGAACTGTTTGCGTTCTGTGGCAGTATTTGAGGTAGAGAATAGGGGAGAGTGAGAGATCTGACGTTGGTTTGAGGGCCAGTGGGTTCAAGAGAGCAACGACTTTCTGCTGTGCTTGGCGGATTGCCTGCCGTAAATTTAGAAGCGATGGCCTCCAACCTAAGAGCGATGGCCTCCAACCCAAGAGCGATGGCCTCCAACCTAAGA